GTGAATGCAATCATGGAGCAGTTTTGTGAAGATACGGGTATTGTATTTCATTTCACTGCAAGCTACACCCCTGAACAAAATGGAGTATCAGAAAGAGGTAATCAAACAGTGACCTCTCGAGCAAGATCCTTCATGGTTCAGTCAGGTGTCCCTCTGACGTTCTGGTATGAGGCTTGTGCGACAGCAGTGTTTATCATTAATCGTACAATCACTTCAACTCTACCTTCGGGAAAAACTCCTTTCGAAGTCTGGTATTTTCAAAAACCAAGTGTGGGCCATCTCAAGGTTTTTGGTTGTCAGGCACATATACTCATCCGCAAGGAGGCTCGAGAAAGCAAGTTCAGCTCACGAACGACAGAGGGTGTGTTGTTAGGGTTTCAAGACGATAACTATAACTATTGGGTTTATGACTTGGAATCTCGAAAAATCATTCTCAGTCATAATGTCACGTTTTGCGAAACTATTTTTCCTTTTTCACTTTTAACTTCAACGCCTTGCCCTGCTTCTCCTTTGAGTTTTTATCCGGATCGCATGCCCAGTCTGAATGTCGAATCTTCGAATCGTTTTCAAGTCCTTGCTAATGACGATGACAGCGACGAAGAGGTCATTGAGCCTGTCACCGCCCCCGATGTTTCGATTTCACCAACTGTGACAACACCAGTTGTGTCGACCCGCAAATCAGGCCGTGCTAAGGAGTCCATTTCTTATAAAGGGATGGGAGGTCATATTTATCTTGAAGAGTGTACATACGTATCAGCCTTTGCGGTTCTTCCGGAGACTTTTTCAACTTCCATTATCGACGTACCGGTTCCTAAGTCCTATAAGGTCGCGGTCAGTGGTCCCGAGGCTGAAATGTGGCGTCAGGCTTGTCTCAAAGAGTTCGATTCCCTTACCAACAAGGATGTGTGGGAGCTTGTCGAACCCCCTCCCGGCAAGAACATTCTGCGGGGTTTTTGGTTGTTCAGGAAGAAGTTCAACTTGGATGGGTCAGTCTCGAAGTTTAAAGCCCGCTTTGTTGTCATGGGTAATATGCAACAGGAGGGTATTGACTTTCATGAGACATTTTCTCCTACCGGCAAACCTTCATCTCTCCGTCTAATCATCGCTTTTGCTGCTCTTCAAGGGTGGGAAATACATCAAATGGACGCTGTAACTGCGTTTCTTAATGGCACGCTGGATGAGGAGGTTTATATGTATCAGCCAGAAGGTTTTTCTCGCGGTTCCAGAAAACTAGTATGTCGACTGAAGAAGTCTTTGTATGGACTACGTCAATCACCCAAAATTTGGTACGACGAAGTTGTCGAGTTTCTTGTCAGTATAAGTTTTGAACAATGTCCTTTAGATCCTTGCATATACACTCGGGCGACCTCTTCCACCTTCACCGCTGTATACGTTCATGTGGACGACATGGCCATCACCGGTAATGACATTGCCACGTTCAAAGGTGAGATTAGTCTGAAGTGGGAAATGGAGGATCTCGGTCTTGCTACTACAGTTGTGGGCATCCAGATTATACGTCAGTCTCCAAATTGCTACACCATCACGCAGTCAGCACTCTCTCGCGCTGTACTTGAACGATTCGACATGTTAAACTTGAAGGCGGCTTCAACACCATTCCCTGCTGGCCTCAAACTGTATCGGGCAAGTGATGATGAAGTTTCTGCTTTTAAGCTTGAAGGTCTTAACTATCGGAGCGCTGTGGGTTCCTTAATGTACCTCGCTCAATGTACTCGACCAGACCTGTCTTATGCAGTAGGGGTGCTGTCACAACATCTAGATTCACCAGCCCGAAAACACTGGGATGCAGTGATCCACGTATTTCGATATTTATTGGGCACTATAAACCTCGGTATATCTTATAGCGGTGATGTGTCTTCTTCCACTGTTGTGAATGGACTCAAGAGTTTCAGCCTCCCGACGTCTCACTGTGACTCAGATTGGGCTGGGGATAAGGAGTCTCGCCGATCCACTACCGGTTACATCTTTCAGTTGGCAGGCGGGCCTATCTCGTGGAAATCTCGGCTTCAACCTACCGTGGCTTTGTCTTCTACAGAGGCTGAGTACAGGGCTATCACTGAGGCTGGGCAGGAACTGGTCTGGTTGAGAGGTATGCTAGCACGGTTTGGTTTTGAAGACCCCAGTCCCACCGTATTGAAAAGCGACAACATGGGGGCTATTCATCTCACGACAAAGTCAATCTTTCATGCTCGAACGAAACACATTGAGATTCAGTATCATTGGATCAGGGAGGTGGTAAAGCAAGGTGCTTTGGTCCTCAAGCATTGTCCGACTTCTGAAATGATGGCCGACCTCTTGACCAAACCACTGGGACGTCAGCAATTCTTTTATCTGAGACAACTTTTAGGTATGAAACATGTGACTCCCTGAAGTCCTTGAGGGGGCGTGTCGTGGTATTCAACATCCCACGTAGTTCTTTTTAATTTTTCTTTAAGGTAGACACTCAGGTGGATTTGGTTTGGTAATGTTTCATTTAACTCTACTCGTCAAGGACTTCAAGTCGTGATCAAAGCTTTATTAATGATTACTAAAGAAGATCGAATGAATAAAGAATTGAGACGTATGAGGTTGTTTAAGTGAAGTCTGGGTTTGATTTGGAGTTTTCGTGTGTGCTTTGGGAATAGGTCGCTTGTGACCTGCGTATTTCTTTTTCTTATGTCCGTGGTGTGTTTATTAGTGTGTTTTTTTACTTTTCATATATACTATCGAGTTGTTCCTCCCAGTTCCTTTCCTCATCGGAAAGGAACTGTAAGTGTTTTATCTTTTATCTTACTCTATTACAAACTCATATCTGACTACAACTCCAAACTACATCTATTTCTTCAGTTATCTTTGCTTTTGCTTACTTTTCTCCGACCTCGTACCTCATAACTTTTACCTGTTGCTTTACGCACAGGTTTGTCCTATTTCTCTGATTATCTTTTTCTCTTTTTCTACTACTTACTAATCTGTGTGCGCATGTTTAGGTGTGTTTTTAGTTGTTCTAAGCTCCTCGAAGCTTTTGTTTGGCTTGTTGCCGTATAGCTCACATCGCGCCTGATTACCCCAGGTTAGTATATTCATTATGATCGGAAAGGAACTTTATCTTTGCTTTTGCTTACTTTTCTCCGACCTCGTACCTCATAACTTTTACCTGTTGCTTTACGCACAGGTGTGTTTTTAGTTGTTCTAAGCTCCTCAAAGCTTTTGTTTGGCTTGTTGCCGTATAGCTCACATCGCGCCTGATTACCCCAGGTGTCGCTCATTTCATACGGCTTCAGTCATCCCTGCTTCGACGAGTTCTAGATCTCACAGCTCTGGGCACGCCCTGGATTCAAACCACGCACCCACCATGTGAGGCTCCAAGCACATTCATGGTGTTTTGCCCCAAAATAGGTTTTGGCCCCAATTTCACAACAACCATTTCTCAGAAGCTCAACATTCTGGCTGATTTGCCGTTAAGTAGACAAAAAACATCAAGAGCCCTATCATGTCATGTAGAAACTTACAAGCCACAAAGCCTTTTTGGGATAGATCACATACCTTCTTCTGACTTGGCAAGATCTTGTTGAGTAACACAGAAGAGATGGCGTATGTCAATTGCAGGGATAAATGTGTGTACAAGAAGCTGGAAGCCAGGTTTACATCAGTTCAGGATTGGGTTTGGGGGTGGGGGTCTTTCTGAATTCAGGTTGGGGGCCGGGAAGGCCACTACCCGTGTTTTTTGGGTTGCGGTTCAGCCTGACTTATATTGAGCTAGTGAGGGAACAAACTAATGAACATATTTTTTTCTTATATTGGCTTGTTGTGGGAAGATCTGTGGTGAGCAGTATGTTATCCAATGATGCAAATGGCCACCCAATAAGACTTCAGGTGTTTTTATGGACTGGGGATGGTTGGATGATAGATGGCAAGAATCAAACTGGATGGGTAAACGGGTTTGTTGCAATTGTTATTGTCTAAAGTCAATGTATCAGTCAGCTCCGCTCACAAGAGATGGCCTGCAAGACGGTAATTGTCACAAGCAAGTGTAAGCAGGGTTTCCTTTCTGATTCTAGCATTCTTTCTGCACTTGGACAGTAAGGATTTGCAGATATAAGTAACTCAAAAACTCAACTGAACACTTAGCTATATCCAAAGTGAAGGCCAACAAAATTTCGCTTGGGACTTGTCAGTTTATGAAAATATCTTGATTCACTTTAGCTTTCAATTTTCAAAGTTGTGCTGAGATATTTTTATTGCAGTAAAACCTTGGCTGGAGACAAGCCTGTAAACATCCCAATTTAAGAAACTGATGTCTTGCACATGCAGTGTTTCTCTCCTTCTACTTTTTCTTCTGAATTCCATTATTGATGTTCTCACGTGCACAAGTTTCTTATATCCAGTCTTGTACTTTCACCTTCTTCCCTGTGATTTCAGGTGAAATGGGATCTGGCATTCTTGTATAGGAAAGTGCCTCTCAGCAACTCATAAAACTTGTGGGGTATGCATTGAAGAGATAATCTTTGTATTCACATAACCTCTTTGTTGGATGTATACTACAGCTAAACGTCTACATCAATGACAAGGAGTCAATTCCAAAAAATTCTTCTAGATGTATGAGGATTACCAATGGGCCATCTGGTCAATGACCATCCCTATGATCACCGCCATTTGTCCATCATTAGTGAGGTGAGGCATCAACCACCTTGAAACTGTATCTGCAATAACCCAAAAAGTTTTCAATATTGTGGGACTTCCACAAAATTGCACAAATTCTTCAATGATAAACCAACTGACAGAAAAGCAAGCAAGGTGGCCCATAAGAAATCTTCAATAGAGCCCTTTGTCCGCTGGATGCTCAACCGGCCTTGTCAGGGCTATTTTTACTGGACCGAATACCGGTGCTGCTCCGTGTAGCATTGACTCGATGTAAAGGCCGGTCCGAGTACCGCCCCCGACATGTGGTGGTGACACTGATGAGCTGTTTTTATTTGCCTTTCTTGTGTATTTATCCGATTATTATGAACCCAAGCCGAACTCTCCTCAATCGATCTGACATCCTAACAAATGGCTCATTTGTTATTCTCGGGGGTGGGCTTGCTGGATTGACCTCTGCTTATTACCTGTCCAAGGGCCTTCCAGCTGGCTCTCAAGCCAAAATTACCTTGCTTGAGCGTTCCGATCGTTTTGGTGGTTGGGTTCACAGTCCTAATGTTGGACGTGATGAACGGTGTGTGTTTGAGGGTGGTCCAAGGAGTGTTCGCCCGAAAGGCTTGAGTGGCTTGATGACCCTTGATCTGGTTTGTGATCGTAGTTTGTTTGGGTATATCCAATCTCATCCTTGATCACTAACGATGTCTTTCGGATCTGGGGTCGGTCTTGTCTAGGTTAAAGACTTGGGCTTGCTTGATGCGTTGATTTCTATACCGACAACACATCCAGTTGAGTTCAAAAAGAATTCAAAGCCTAGATAATCGTAAAACCCACGTCGCTCAAGCCCCAGCTTGCGCCTTGCTCTCCAGTCAGCGAAAAATCGTTATATCTATACTCCACATGGACTTCAGAAGTTACCATCCTCGATCGCTAGCCTGATTTCATCGATATTTCGATCGCCCATCTCAGCCTTACCAGCTGCGGTTTTCAAGGATCTCACTTCAGGTCCTGGGTCTGGTACACTCGAGGATGAAAGCGTGAAGAGCTTCATCACCCGTCGCTTTGGGCCTAGAATCGGAGACGAGCTCATCAGTGGAATGGTTCACGGAATTTATGCCTCTGATTATGGTACACTCAGTGCACGCAGTAGTGTCTTTGGTCCTCTGTGGGAACTTGAGCGGCGGCACGGGAGTGTGATAAAAGGTTTGCTGGCAAAGAAGGCACCATCTGACGCGGTGGTCGCAAATGAAGAACTTATCAGCCGACTCAGCAGCTCTTTACCTCCAGAGGTCAGGACCGCTAGTGTCTGGGGACTCAAGAACGGACTCGAGACACTCACAAAGAAAATGACAGAGTGGCTAATCGGTCGACCTAACGTTGAATTGCGGAAGGATGAGCCAGTGACTGCTATTGAGCGACGCACAGATAATACATATCGAGTGAGTCTGCTCTAGCTCATAACTCTGGCTAGATGTGCTTACCATGTGTGCGTCGTTCGAAATCCCAGATCACCACACCCGCGCACCAACACACAGCGGACTTCGTCATATCTGCAATACCGCCCCGCGCACTCCATGATAGTCTTCATCATGATTTCAAGAACCAAATCGCTAGTCTAGGCCACAACCCTGCCGTCACAGTTGCAGTCGTCAATGTTGCTTACCGATCTAAGCGAAGGATAATTCCAGTCCCACCAGCGTTTGGCTACCTCATACCCGCTAGCATTGGGCCAGATATCAATCCGCATCGAGTTCTGGGAGTCGTGTTTGATAGTGATATGATGCCAGGTGTCGAAAGCACGACATCAAGAGGCCACACGGAAGACTTGACAAAACTGACAGTTATGCTCGGTGGGCATTTTTACAGCGACCTTCCGATACCCTCTTTGGACGTTTTGAAACATCAAGCACTAGAAGCGCTTGAACAGCAGCTGGAGATCAACGAGAAACCATTATACATTAATGCAACCCTTCAAAGAGATTGTATTCCACAGTATCTTGTTGGCCATCACCGTCGAATGAGTGGTCTACACCATGCTCTGCAAGGCCGAGGTTTAGCTCTGGTCGGGTCTGGATACGGCGGCGTGGGGGTAAATGATGTCGTAAAGGGCTGCAGAGAAACAGTCGAATTGATTTTGAAAGCTGGGAGTGCTACAGGATTAGAATCTTTCAATTGACTGCTCTCTATGGCTTAGTTCATCAGTTCTTCAAATGTCTTTCTACACTTTCTGTCTAGGCGCTCTTAATCTGGTCCGAATTTGTTAGCCAAATAATCACAATTGTCACACCTACCTTGCAAAACTGAATTGTGTGAGACTTTTCAAAGACTTGGTACTTACCATGCGTGGCAGATAATTGTTTGATAGGTGACAAATTTTCTGACCATCTATCAGGAGCATCTAGAAATGTTTCTGACAAAGTACATTGATATAGATTATGAAACATGATGACAATGACGTTGACTTACTACCCAAAATTGGAGCGGAATAAAAGGGGAAATAGTCTGACAAGAGGGTTGTTACAATCTGCAATTTTTCAAAACAAGAAAACGATTTTGGCGTATTAATGATTTCTACCTGGGATGATATGATATAATTTACATCTCTCATCATTTGAAGAGTCGGAGAGAACTTTATGATAAAATAGAATAAGCTATTAGGAGTGGCATAATTGTGGAGAAACCATCAGACCAAAGAAGTATTGACTTCGGAGTCCACTTAAAAGATTAATGCCACCTATATTTTTTGAGTGATTCCCAGTAGCAACGAGAACATCAAAATTTTCATCAGGAGATTCAGAGGGGTAAAAATGACATTTAATGCACGGTACTTATGAGCGTTCATTTTCCAGCGACGAGCTCACATTCAATCATCTGTATCAACATCCCCTCTACCGTCTTTACGTATCTTGTGACCTTCTTTCTTACCTTGTGCTCTTTTTGGAATCGATTCCCAAACTTTCATTACTTCATCTTGTGGAATCATCGGTTTCCCGTCAGATAAACGTGCTTGAATGTGTAAGGCACGAGCCAGCTCTTCCTACGATCAAAGTTCACGCCACAAGAAGGAACATCACCCGGACCCCGCGTCAATTTACATGTTATGACTCAGAATGAGCAGAATGATTTCGAATGTATGAAGGAGCTCAAAATGAAACTGGCTTACTTGATCACAATCAGGAGCCAACGGATGTGACATCAACTTTCGCCAGGCGCGAGACCCCTTGAACATCTGTCTTATATCCTCTCCTTCGCTCACATTCGGTGGCCGCTCCCATGCTGGAGCTAGGTTGGGATTTTTTCCCTTGTCGCTCCCGTCTCTTGAACGTTTAGGCGATTCTCGATTTCCTCCGCGAAGCCCTCTCATTCCGGTACCAGGCACTTCACTTGATTCTTTTGTGGAACCGGTCTGAGATGGAGAGGCAATGTGGGTGGGAGATCGATCAGGATTGGTTGGATTGACTTGATTCATCAGGAACTCGGCCTCAGCTTCGGGAAAATAGGTTTCCCAGAATTCATCCCATGGTGGAGGTATATGAGATGATTTAGACGAGCTGCTAGAACTAGTCGAGGTTTTTTTCTGACTTGGCTCAACGAAATCCTTTCTCATGGGATCTGTTGTATGGCCAAGAGGACTTGATGTAAGTGAAGAGGGGCGTCCAAGTTGTGGATGGGCTTCGATTGTTGTTCTTTGGAGCAATTCGATTTTAGCTCCGTCTTCATCAGATTGTAACATCTTCTGATTAAAGATCATTCCAGGTTCGTAAGGGGAAATATGTATTGAGTTTTCACTATTGTCAAGATTCATCGATGAGTGGCTAAAGCTAAGCTCTGGACTAAAATCTAGACCAGGAAAAGTCGGCTGAGGAATTGATTCGGCTTCAAAAAAGGACTCCATTGGTACAGGATGGGAAGCGCGCGGCGGTGTGATGAAGTTGCTAGGTCCTGGTATCAATTCAGCAGGATCTACAGGTTCTGGTAAACTAGAAGTTGAACTCAAAGGTTCCGGACCCGAGAACCTTCGATGCGCCTCGGCCAAAACAGCTGGAGAAGCATTTTGCCGTAATATATTTTGCTCGCTTTGAAGTCTATCCACAAGGGAAAACATTCATTAGATTTCAAAGCTAGATTTACTCTAGGCGCTCATAATGGAAAGGTGATCAGGGGGCGAAAGGGATAGTAATGTTACTAACGAAGCGACTTTCTCTCGCAGTGTGATGTTGAGATGATCCGCCTCAATAAGCTCCGCGCTGGTTTGTTGATTTTTTTGTTGTTTCCCGTGACGAAATTTCTGCTGAGCTCTAGTTAAGGAAGAAACAGGAGAGATGATAATATCATGACTCGAGGACATGACTAAACCTGTATCAAACTTGAAAGTAGCAGAACAAAGAAACTATCTGATGATAGGGGGTATCAAATATTGAGAGTATCACATACGCTCGGTTCTGTGCCTTTCTTTTCTCAGTCTTTGGCTTCTTCCCAGACCCTTTTTTCGAGGGTGAATGAGTGAATGAGGCTTGATCAATTTCAAGCTTGCAGTCGGTTGGATTAGAAGTTGAGGGGGTGCTATCCTCTGGATTGGCTAATGATCACACAACTTTAGGAGAGGCTCACCAAGGGGAAGTAAGCCAAGTATGCATAACTCACCGCTGGTAGAAGCCAATTTGGACTGTTGTGGTGCCATGGTGTTAAGAGATGTCGGTAGCTATCTGTTTGTTTGTTTGTGAAAGTAAAAGCATATATTAAGTGTTAATAATTGATAGAATGGGCGTTAAGATTGATTGAAGGCTTATGGATCAGATATAATCAAACACGCAAAGACCGGCCGAAAATTAATCAATCAAGAAAAGATGAAGAGTTACCAAAGGCTTCAGGGTCCCCTTGAAGATCTCACGATTTGAGAAGTGCTGGTCAGTTCTTGAACAATACTGAATGACAGTTTTGAGAGGAAGAGTTCATGTAGATGAAAAATGACGAGTTGTTGTAGATGGGTATGGGCAGTGAGATTGATGAAGACTCTGACCACGTCAAGATGTGGGTGTCAATTTCAATTCTTTCAAGCTCTGTCCCTCCTCCTCTTTCATTTTATAATAGTTCATCCTGATCTTACTTGCTTCAAAGCGCTTCACTCGGCTTCCTTCGGTCCCGATCATCCGATCTGGAGTATGCCTTCAATCACGCCTTCCGGGTATCTAGACATTGAGAGTGAAGGCCAGGTTGAAGGGGATTGTTGTATGGATGGGTAGAGTAAACTTTGAAACTTGACAACGATTAACTTTGGCATGATGAGAATGAGTGATATCATAAAACAGTAAAGGTTGAAAACTCCTTCACGATTGATGAATTTGAGTCAATGAAAAGAGTTAGAGTGAGATTTGATAAAATGGAATTGTAGATCGTATGGCAGAAGAGTGAGTCTCAAAGGCTCATTATCACCCAAAGATGCCTTCTTATCTGACAGTTCGTTAAATAAATGAGAACTCTTCATCGTTGAACGTTCAGTAGTTTGTAGGTTGGCGTCTGTTTTTGTCAAAGCGTGCATCGAGCGAGTCTCGCAAATGAAACAACACAGTCTTATAAGTATTAGGGCCGCCAAGCAGCGCTTCAAAGAGAGAAGTATCAAGTTTTGTTTACCTTGCAGAGTATTGTGGACGAGCATCAAGCTCAGTGTCAACAACTTTCAGATTGGCCTTGAAACTGCGTTATTCGCTGTGAATCACTTCAAGCTTTGGTATGCCATTCAGTTGAGATAGAACAGACAAACGATAATGCAGACGAGTCCCCTTCACCAAAACAACACGTCATCAACTTCATCGCAGAGTCATTGTTATTGTATATTCGAACTCTTGCATGATTGTTTATTTCGCGTAAGATAGGGTTGTCATTCTGCTAAATCACTTTGCGCACAGTTTTTCACAATAGAGCGACAAAATGTCTTCCTGTATTCATAAATTAAACAATATTTCATAGTCTCGGAGAACCAATACATACATGATCGTTCATATCCACTTTTCACGGGCAAACAATCGGGTTAAGAATGACACAAATTACATATCAAACAAGGAAAGAAGGAAATGGCAATATTTAAAGCATGTGACAGTGTGGACTAAGAGCGTTCACCGCGTAATCGACGAGCCAACTGGATATCTTTGGGCTGGATCGTCACTCGTTTAGCATGAATTGCAGCGAGGTTGGTATCCTCAAAAAGTCTAAGCACACAATAAGAAGCCAATCAGATACGTTGAATCGAAAGCAGTTTTATTCAATCAAGATATCACTAACCCTACGAGGTATGCTTCTGCCGATTCTTGTAAGGCCATCACGGCTGATGATTGAAATCTCAGATCGGTCTTGAAATCCTGAGCAATTTCTCGAACAAGACGTTGGAATCTGGAGAAGGATTAAGTGTGATGAGAATGTGCACTATGGTATCTAATCTGGTATAAAGAAAAATAAAAAGAAGACTAACGGTAGCTTTCGGATCAGGAGTTCTGTGGATTTTTGGTATCGCCTGATTTCACGAAGGGCTACGGTACCCGGACTGAAAAATTACAATTGAGATCGTCAGACAAGAGTTGTGAGGTAGAGAAGACAGAAGAGTAAGAAGCATGCATACCGGTATCGGTGAGGTTTCTTGACACCACCTGTAGCAGGTGCTGATTTACGAGCAGCTTTAGCAGCAAGTTGTTTACGAGGAGCTTTACCACCAGTGGTTTTGCGGGCAGTTTGTTTTGTTCGAGCCATTGTTGATTGAAGATAAGGTAGCTGAGTGAGGAAGGCTGGGTTCTAAATGTGAGAGCAATCTGGACTTGGTAGGTTGGATGATGGGGATATGAAGAGGATGTCGGTCACAGGTGTTCTTTTATACCCTTGTGAGGAAGTGTTTGAAAACTTGCTCAACTTGAAAATCAACGCGAATTTGACGCGCTTTTTACACGCGACTGGTAAGACCGCGTCCGCGTCCTCCACCAATCAGAACCCGCGCCTCTTTCGGCGACGCGGCAGGCTTGCTTAGCAACCGAGGTTCGATTATTGACACAGTGAGTAACTCGCCAGTCGCCACCACGTCCTTTTCAGTATATAAAGCCCCTTCCCTTTCCTCTTCTGATCCCTCATCCCACAGTCCAATCACAATCACCTCACCCAACTGCCCTCACACTACACATCTCATTCATACCTTACATTCTAAACTACAACCTCAATCTCATCCAAATAAACATGTCTGGACGTGGTAAAAGCGGTGGAAAAGGTCTCGGCAAGGGTGGTGCCAAACGTCAGTCTCCATCTTCTTAGAGCGCTCCATGTACCTCATCTTCACTCTTCTCAAACCTAACACTTCATCTTGTCATTCAGGTCACCGTAAAATTCTGCGTGACAACATCCAAGGTATCACCAAACCCGCAATTCGTCGATTAGCACGAAGAGGAGGTGTGAAGCGTATCTCTGGACTCATTTATGAAGAGACACGTGGTGTTCTGAAAATCTTTCTCGAGAATGTTATTCGAGATTCTGTCACATATACTGAGTACGTTTTGTCTTCATCTCTATATACTTTTAAAGATTTCTAACTCATATTATTTCTCATTTTGTTCTTTTCAGACACGCCAAAAGGAAAACTGTCACTTCGCTCGATGTTGTATACGCTCTCAAAAGACAAGGAAGGACTCTTTACGGCTTCGGTGCATGAGACAATCTTTATCCTCAGCCTGTTTCTTTTCCTTTAATGTGTTTCATAATTTTGCCACCTTGTGCTATTTCCTTTTGGTCTTATTCAATCTTGTTGTTTATTTTAATCGGGTCGTTGTTCTGAGAATTTTGATTTATCATTGTTGGGAATCTCTTTGAGGTTTAATCAAAAAGCGTTTTTCTAACCGCATACCAAGTCATGCGTCCCCTTGATAGTGCCATTTTCTGCCATGAAGTGCAGGAGGAGATTGAACCTTGAAGTACCAGGTCGAATGGGCTTTGTTGAGTTCGATGAATCAGACTACGTTCAGCTCACAGTCAACTTTTAAAGATGTCCGCATGATGAACTTCAAGATTTCATACCTCGAAATGTATGGAGGAATCTCCAAACCCGACGGGAAGGCTTGATAACTTGATAGACAAGCAATCATTGTCTTCATCTTTTGTCTTCTCACTAAGTCTTCTTATCTAGCCTACTATCTACCATTTCATACTTCTTTTCTCTGATTGACTGAACACCAAGCCTTGATGTTGTTCACTCACGATATGATACAACCACTCGCGAGTAACCCTCCCACAAAGCACTCAAAGTACGAGTCCCTTACAAATCCCATTCACCCAGTCCGACCATCTTTGTTTTCTCTACCGAAACTTATCCGACATAAACAATTCTTTCCTATCATCTTTGCCATTGAACCTCTTTTACTGCAAAGAAATTCTCAACTTCAAATTCATTAACTCGATTCCATCCATGTGTATCCAAACTTTTCTTATATGAAAATTCCGAAACAAAAAAATTACATCCAAAGAGAATTTGATCAAAATAAGAATTTAGTTCTTTTATGCATGTTGTATACCCCACAAGCATTGATTGTATAAATATAAATAAAAATATGTAAATCTTTCAAACGAAAAAAACAACAGAAAATAAGAGCAAAAAAAGAAACCAAAACAAAAAACAAAAAAGTGTTGTAAATGATAGAATCACAAAAACAATAAAGACTATGACACTCAACACGAAGTATAAGAAAAAAAGAACAACATGTGTTATATACATATATCATTCATCTTAAGCTTATCCTCTTAAAGAAAAAAAAACAAATCAAAGGGTATATAGATAAAAGGTATCAGAGATATACACTTTAAACACACACACAACCTTCCACACTATCTTCATTTGTATATAATGTAACGCATAATAAATGAATGAATCAAAAAAGAGATCAAGTTGAATGCATGCATTTTAAATAAAACATCATTGATCGATCGGCTTTCCAAAAACTTTTCTCAGTTAATGTTCTACCCGTCCAAGCTGATTGATTTTTAAGTACAATTGATTGTTGTGCAGCTATGTTTCGTTCATTTGAATCAAATTGATGTCTAGCTAAATTGGTTTCATTTTCATCATCTTCCTCTACTATCCTCACTAAATCTTCTATAACTACTAATACCATTTCAATATCTTCTAAACATCCTGTCAAGACTTCTCTCATTGTACTTTGTTCTACTGCCTTCTTTCCTTTGAGACTACCTACCCTTGGTCGTTCACTACCATTATGTATATTACCAAGTACTGTATGAACAATGTGTCGAGTTTCCTCGAGTAAACGACTCGCTTGCCTCTCCATACGACGTGATACCAAGACTAAAGCTCGAGTGAGTGAGTCGGAGGTTAGGAGCTCGATCCGTCGTCGTACAATGCCTGGTTCGTTACCGGTAGATACTCTAGGATTGGCAAGGGGCTGAGGTGGAACGATGGTGATGCTCAACAGAACCGGTCTTACCAGCCTGCTGACAGTCTTACCAGCAATCGGATCTCGATAAGATGCATCGACTTCCAGCAAAGGTACGTCATCACTTAGCTGATCAAATTCTGCTTGGTAGAAATCTTGTGCTCCTACTCCTCCATCCCCTCCAATCTCCTTCAAACCTCCCACACTATCCATAAAGAATGCATCTGTGCCAGTAAGCCCACGGTTATTCGCTCCGCCTGGTGACGAGGATTCAATTCCAACTGCACCATCTCTCATCTCCACTTCAATCAAGATTTCCCTTCGTTCACCATATCGCATTTCACCCAAATCGATATCCGCATGTTGTCCATTGGCTGACAATACGAAGGTCATCACACCTGTGACCTTTTTCATCTTAAACCATCGATGTTCTGGTACACTGATCTGAAGTTTGGCATTTGTTGCTCCGATCGAGATCTGAGAATAGAAAAGTAAGATATCAGAAACAATTAAATCTTTCCAATCGACCTGGGTCAAGCTCACCATTCCACCTATACAGCCTGTAAGCGTATCCTTGATCTCATACAGATCATTGACATAAGTATAAGTACCGCCAGTATGATTTGAAAGCTGCCAAAGACATGAGGGATTATGGACTTTGCCCCAACCGATCGTATGTACCGGCACACTATTGAAGAAAAACACAGATCGACATTCAGTTCTAGGGGATTTTCATCTTAATCGCATTTAGTTACTCACTTTGCAGCCTCAGCCCGAGTCATGACCAGAGCCATCTGAGGTTTGGTCGTCGTATCACGTTGGTCATGCAAGAGCAAGAAACCCGACAACGGGTTCTTTTGCTTACGTTGTAGAATGATGTCATACGCTGATCGATCAAAAAAGAATCAGCCATACTGATCCAGTCAAGCATACGCGAAAGGAAAAGATCAGACTCACCCAAGTTCATAGCGGTCGCTACTGAGACTTTCTCTTCTGCCATCTCAATCATCTTCAAACTTCCCTCAAGCATCTCATAATCGATTGGTGGAGGTTCCAAAGGTTCGCCATAATGACCATGCTGAGATTGTTGGGATCGACGATAAAACGGTTCAAATTCGCTATAGTATCGCTCATTCTGTGGGTTTAAGATCCCACTGCTTTGTCCACCACGTGCGATCTGTTCAATCACAAACTCAAGTCGTCTACGACTTGACTCTTTACCAACACATAGGAAAGGTGTCTTCTTCAATTGACTTTCTTGTGGTCTTGGCTCTCCCTTTTCATTCCCAACTGACTTTTGATCTGATCCAACCGAGTATATAATCAGACTTAACCGTGAACGTGGATGAAGATGTCGGATTACAAACTCTAGGGTCTCTTTGATCAGTCTTGATTTCATATTCGAAGAGGTGGGCATATAATTTGTGCTGGCGGTGGTGATGGAGATCATCAACATGAGATCAATCGGAGGAAGTTCCTCGATATTGTTGAAAGGGTTATCGGTCATCAGAGTGTGATACGTGGGGTAAGATGGTGACTGAGTACGTGGCAAGTGGCGCGGCTCATTATCTTGAGTGGTGTGACGGTATGAAACACTATGGGCAATCGAGCGTCTCTGTCGGCGAGGAGCTGGATAGGATTGTGAGCCGTTTCCATCGTCCTCTTCTCCCACCGAGTAAAGTGTCGGCGCAGATGTCAAGTTGGTCGTCTTTGTGTAAGCTGTATAAGACGAACTTGCATAACCGCCCTCTGAGCTTGTCGCTGTCTCGGGCAGGACTTCGTACGTCTCCTCGGAAGTTGCAAGAATCGGACTTGTGATCGTATCAGCCGTAGGACTAGGGACAGGAGGTAACGGCATTCGGCCTTCCAAGCGAGCACGATCTGGGAAGTGTTTATCAATGAGTAATTGAATGTTGGCCTTCCATGACTCGAGTTGTGCAGCATCATTGAATCGCATCACAAAGACATCCATATTGTCATCTTGCATCTGTATAGTAAGTGTCAATGGGACTGTGGATGAAGAGTCGATAACTGCGGTCATGTGTCGAATGTAAATTCGACCTTTAAGCCTTAGTCTACTCGAGAGGATTGGACCAGAGGTGGAGGCTGGTCTCGCTTGCTTTTCTTCATGTACACATAGAAGGGCTTCTTCGAAAAGATAGACAAGAAAATCGCGAGAGTGCGATTGCTTCCTGACTTGAATGCGATCATGCAACTTGAGCGATCCAAAGTCCGTCAGAGAATGACCTTGATGACCGGGAAGATGATCACAAAAGGGAACGAAAATAAATAAGCAAGGTTTAAGAGATCAGGGCTAATAGAAGAAGAATGGATATCGCACCTTTCCAGTCTTGAATGCGATTGATCAGATCATCCACCAATAGCTGAAGAGGGTTACCTGCCACAGCTGTCTCGGCGATTGGCTTTTCAGCTAGACTGGCGGTTCCCAAGTTTGGAGAAGATTTGACCTTTGGGAATACTTTGTGACGGGGATTTGCCATTCGGTTGTGAGCGGAATGTTCGGAATCGCAAGGTGAGGCGACGCTCGCCAAGCCTGGATAGCTAAACGCACTGCCTGCGCTACTAAGTGGACCAGATGTACCAGCTTGAGATGGATGATATAAAGGTGAAGCTTGAGAAGAATAGGCAGCAGAGGTGGGTGTAGGAGGAAAAGGTGCAGGATTTCGAGATGGAATTTCGATGGACACCATACAAGTTAGATGCTGCGTTTGTCTGGCATCTTGCGGTTGAGAAAGGCTTGAAAGCTCCGAGATGGCATAGATGTTGGGTTGAATGATTTGGGTCGATTTTCGATGCTGGCTTGATGGATTGGAGCCATGGCTTCGAGATAGAGGGGAATCAGCAATGTTTAACAATTCATCGTCCTCATCCGGTTCTAAAGCCTCTTCTTTATCTGCCGCACTATCGTGGTATGGAACCGCAGGTACTGCAGCTGTTGGCTTCCGATTCACACTGTTTGCTTTCGCTTTTGCCGGTGAAGCTTGCAGACCAGCCATGGCAGCAAACTCTAAATATGGCCAAAATACATAACTTCATCAGAACAAATTGATGCAGCTCATGGGGGGTATTTATAAGCCGATCTTGAGTAAAAAGGGACGGAAGGCTTAACTGCTTCGTGTATTTTTGCCTAATGTGGCATCAGGGCCAGCGGAAATGGTACCATTTGGCGAGTGACACCTGACCATGCGTCCCGCCATGGAGGGAACGTTACGAGAAGCCGGACCGCCTGTGACAAGATCGCCTAGCCTCATGTCCTTCCGACAGACTCCACAAAGACCAAGAATCTGACCGCTTTTTCTAGCTTCGACAATGTTGCCGTAGACAGCCTCGAAACAGGACGCGTCTAAAGGCCGTATAATTCAGTGTGGCGGGATACAAGAAATATATACATGTCCAGATTATTATGGACAAAAGTAGGACATTTTGAGGATGTTGGATACGAGATACAGCAGGATGAGATTGGTTAGCAAACTTCCAATGATAAAGTAGCTTAAAATGACTGACGTAATATGTGACCACAGCTAGGAATCACATGTGGTTTCTCACCTTGAAGTCTCATTTTGAGATCTTCAAGACAGACCGGACAATCATCCCCATCATCTTGATCACGAACAAAAACCGCTGTAGGCTCAGATTTTTTGTTTTCGAACTTGGGATGCGGGACCGGTGGAGATATGGTAGGATGGTTTGATGAAGCCGTAGATGAACTAGTCGTGCTAGTCACAGACGGTTTTCGACCAAACATAGCTCGCATTTTGGAGTTGAGAGAATGAGAAACTGGGTTCGGGGGGTTGCGATCGACTTTAGGAATAGATAAGATAGGCTCTGTGGGCTGAAAGCTGAAGTTGAGATTATTTGACTTCAAATCAGATTTGGTCAAAGGTTTAGTGGGACTAGTAAGCTGGCAATGTACCGGTGGTTCTGTAGTAGGTTGTGATTTAGCCAATGAGGAGCTATGAGGAAGAAGACTAGAGATATGAGGTGCTGAGATGGAAGTAGGCAAACGGGGAGGTTTAGTAGGAGAGGCGAAAGGATGACCAAAGGTCTTGACAGACGACGAAAGGCCACTGGGAGGAATGTACGTCTCTTGAACTGTTGACGGGATCGACTTTACGAGGTCTTGCGGTGAAGAAATCGGGTTGACAAACGAACGACCGATCGGGTGAAGAGGTTGTGGAGGGCTGAGCTTAGTAGGTGGCTGAAATGAGAGGCGGTGATGTGAATTTCGAAGCCTTGGGGTGCCAGAGAGAGTTGAGGAAGCAGTCGAGGGACGTGGGGAATTAGAAGACGAGGAAGAGGATTTGTGGCTTTTATTGTTTATGCTGCTAAGAGAAGCAAGGAATGATGACCCAGATTTAGAGGCTTGAGAGGAACTAAGACGAGGTGGAAGATGAAGGTCTAACCCCAAAAAGTCTCGCTTGGGTTTGAGAGGAGGATGAGAAGAGGTTAAATGCACTACAGAAGACACCGAAGCTAGAGTCCGAGATTGAGAAGAGGCAGCAGGAGAGGGAGTAGCAGATGGAGACGATTGAGCAATGGTGATTGACTCGTTTTGATCGGTACGTGATTGATTATTGAGTTCAGTATTGCTTGTACTGCGGTCTGTAGTGGAGGCGGTGATATTAGATGGAGATCGAAATGGACCTAAAAGATTGCTGATTCCAAGAGAGATAGAGCCAGAAGACCGATTTTTTTTTGATGCGCGTTTAAGATGATGACTCGGATTCACCGAGGATAAAGACGAGTTGGAAGAAGGCTGAGTCCGTAAAGAGAGTGATGTTGGGTTGAGAACAGTAGGATCAGATGTAGGAGAAGGGGAAGAAGAGGGTATCGAACTTGAAAGAGAGGCAGGAGCTTGTAGAGAAGAACTTGCTACAGTGACTAAAGAGAGCCTTGTAGCAGAAAGCTGATCTTGGCTTTGACGATGAGAATCACTGCGGGACTCATTTACATCCTTGTCCTTGTTGGCAGAATCAGAAGTGATTGGTTTCAGCGGAGACTGATTGATTGAATGACAATCCAAGTCAGTTGAAGGATGGGAAAGTCTGTCTGCCATTGTCGAATCTGGTCCCCGTTTCTCAAGGAGTTCTTTCTCCCGAGTCGGAAGTCCCAATCGATAATAATGAATATAAAGTGGTTGTACGTGAACAGGCGTGAACGTTCAAAGAACAAAATAAACCAAATTTGTATGTCACCAGATGTCACGCTATGTATTGGTTTTGTATCCTTTAATCGACTTCGAATGAATCCAATTTTACAATGCTTCCTCTTCCTACCGATTGAGTGTGAGATTTAGAAAGGAAGCTTGGTAAGCTATCAAAGGATCTTGTTGTGCGTTGTATATATGCTAGTCTAGAAACTGATAGAACCTACTAGAACTGATTGGTGGATGAAAGACTGGTTTTCTAAATTGATACGTGATACAAAATTGAATACCGAGAAGATGACATTTGTTTCTTAAATCAGGAAGCTATTATTCAGTTGATTTAAAGAAATTTCAATTGTGGAAAGACAGCGATGCAAATTCAAAAGGAATCAACTCGAATCAAATCAGTTCAAAATTGGATATCAATTATTTCTACACCCGATCGTACTCCGGGAAAGTTCAAAAGAAGAAGAAAAGGAAACCTATAGCTCAGAGAGCATTTACTTGAATGCGTATGGATGATGGATGCGATTGTGAGGGCCAAATCAAATATTCGATCGCTTTCGATGATATCTTTGGAGTTGAACTTGAAGGGGGGCGATGATATGTTGCCGACCAGTGCCCTAGTGGTGTGTTGATACGAGGATATGGTCAAAGTATTTGAAGTTGATATGAATGATCAGAATCTTGTGATATGATATTCATCTTTGAAGCTCAAAATATCATGACAGATATATCAGTATGAACCAAGGGAAGCTGAGAAAGACCATCAAAAGAAAAACAAAAACAGACAGAGTAAAAAAGTTTTCCTCTTCAAGCTGACATAATTGATGGTGCACAGAGGGTCGTTCGATGACCATTGACCATTTCAGTCTCAGTGGTTGAAGGGCTCAGTCAGGTCTCATATTGTGTTTTAAAATCAGGTGTTCAACATAGTGGGTGTATGCTAGATCCACAGAGATATAAGATCAAGATGCATAACAACGCCGATGAGGTGATGCTGATTCCTATATCAAACATCAAGCAACTGCACATTTCTCAGTTCATGGAAACCTCTTGGGTCCTTGTAGATCCTTTACCAATACCATTGTAGTATCAAATCAAGTAAAGAGGTGATAAGATGTGAGCTCACATCGCATATCAATTTGGTGATCGATTTCTACATCAACCCCATCATCATGACTGGTGCATTTGATAGAGCGAATGGTGATCATGGCGTTTTCGAATCAGATCGGTTTAGCGTAAAAGCGGTCGAGCAACAATCAAGTGAATAAAAAAACTACCGCACGGCATATTTTCACCACAACTTGCAAACTGACCGGAATTGCGTGCACTTGGGCTTATGCAATCATGGTAAATCATCTGAGCCTTTGAAAAAGTCATGATGTTGATCACCTGAAAGACACTTGCTTCCGTCTCGCTAAATACCATACGATTCATTCAGTTCAAATGATTTTTTGGTAACAACTTACGGCACAGGAAAACCGCGTGGACAAACAAGCTATGGTCTTTGGGAGGCCGTGATGGTGTTCGGAATGCGCTGCAAGATTTCATATTTGAGCGATTGCTCAGCTAATTGGTCCAAAGTCTCAACCCTAGGGCGCAAAATACCGGCACATGAAAAAAGTGTTGTAACCGGCGTGACGAACCTGGAGGGAAGCGTCATATTTATACAGCCGTTTCAACAAAGATTGTTTTTCTTAAAAAATCTCGCCGATGTGCAAAACCCGGGTTTTGTCCCTCACTTGATTTTGTCTCTCCGCTAATTGGAAGAATACAGAAAAGAATAAACCTGTAATCAAGTTTTGTCTCTGGTTTTAACCGCTGCGGAGACAACTTTCTCCAAAAAAAGTTGTCAACCTTTCTTGAAACGGCTGTAATTTTCTGTGATGATCATTTGCTCGAGCTGAGACCCGGGCCCGGAGCTCTGTCGGAGCTTCCGTCGGATCCGGATATTGGATGGGACCTTGGAGCCATCCGGTAGCTGGATAAAATCCAGCCGGCTCGGTAGTTGAACGTGGAGGTCAGAAGAGTCAATATTCACTGTGAACATCATTCAACTTCCCCACATTGGAAGAGGAAAATGATTAATAGTACAGTTTGTCATAAAAAGATCCAATACCGCTCACCTGAGCCTCAACACCCATACTACATATGTGCAGTACGCTAAGTAAATAGTTTTCTATCATGTACATACAGGTCTGCTCAGTTTTTTGCCCATCAGAATATATAAATCACATGTTATACCACATGTAACTTTTTTGACTTGGAAAAAATTGTCCCAAGAATTCACTACATATAATTCTGTAGCTGCTCAGGCAATATTTTTGAAGCTATCTCTTAGTAACAGAAAGGGTATTACATGCAGTTGAGTTGATGAGATTACACCAAAACATTGAGTCAGTGTATGTAGTCTATCTTTTGAATGCTTTTGTCAATCTGAAAAAAGTTACAGCATGCATTACATATGAATAACTCATCCTGCTGAGCAGATAACTGAGCAGAACTGTATGTACATGATAAACACCAATTCACTGAGCCTGCTACACATATGTAGTGTGGGTGTTATGGATCAGGTGTAGAGTGATAGATCATTTTATGACATTTGACATATTTGCAAGGGCATATTGGTGTGTATTCAAAAGGATTGTAGATGACATCATTGAAAAAAAATAGGAAAAAAAGAGAATGGATGAAGAAACTAACCATCAACCTCATCATCGTCATCAGTAATTGTAGTCAATTTTAAAGGCCCAAACACTCGGTGCCAATCTTTCACACATAAATGAGTCTCAATGCAGAGACATAAGAGGCTAGTACTGTAAAGTTTTGGGGAGAAGCCTTCACTAGCATCCAGATAAGGTTCCGGCTTGACTTCTGGAGAGAGCACAATGGGACAATTAACTAGGAACTTTGTTATATGAATTATGAACTGGTTCCAGAATGTCCAAGTATAGGCTCTCCAAGGAGTCAGTAAACCCGTTAATGACAGAGAACAAATGAAAACAATAAGACAAACGCTCACCTGGTTCCAGAAATTCCAAAAATAGGCTCTCAGAGGGGTGAGGACTTCCTAGAACCGGGCATGGAGCAAGAAGATATAACACTGCCTATCTAATCCCATAATCTAAACCCATAAGTAAAAGCCTGTACTCATGTACTCCTTGCAAGTACGCTGAGGACTCAAGATCCTTTTAGTTTTGTTAAATTGTCCCTCTGAGGGACAGCTTGGCCGGGGTTGCCAGAAACAACATGGACATGTTGGATAATCCAGGATAAATGTTTACTTGCCATCACCAAAATTCTAAAACATCAATTTCACAGGATTCTGCCTTATCACCAAGGTATTAAGCAATATTGTTGGTGATTGAGTGTGTCTGTGGAGCGTCTCTGGCGCCAAAGATTGCTTCTTTGAAATATTGGGAAGTTGCTGTTGTAACAGTCTTTCTTGTAGAGGTTTCTGAGATGATGATGGGTTCATTGGTTTTGTATTTGTTGGCCTCTTCCTCAAACATTAAACTAGTGTCTGACACTTAGAGGTTGTACTCACAGAAGGTCATAGCTTGTTCCTTTTTTCATCACAAACATTGATCAGTAAGAATTTAGAGTAGAAAGAGTCAAAACAAATTCACTTAACAGTAATATAACTTGTGACATGGATCAAGGATTGTGGCACAGATCAGTGCGGGTTTGGCAATCACCTCCTCAAAAAAATCCTCAAGTTTGTGGATCATCTTTTTGGAAGCAGGGCCTAATTGATTGTGATCATATTGTTGACCAACCTATGCATATAATGTCAGCTTGATACTAAAGATGAGCTGGGAATATCTTCTAGGTCAAGCTACAAATACTTACAAAATGTTTATCAAGCAACTGACTAAATCTTGGTTGCTGAGGGAAATTAGTTTTCAAATCTTTGTAAGTAGTTAAGACTATAATTGTTTTTTATAGTTCTCTATGGTGTGGAATGGATACCACTGCCAGTGTATTAATAAGTGCACTCACTTATCAATCTGCCTAGGTGATTACGATAATCGTAAAATGAGCCTGGGTGATGCTTTAGCGTTAGTTTGATAAAACAAGTTTTTATCAAAAGTGATTTCTAGCCGAGTCTGAGGAACTTTAGCCGAGTGGTGATAGCCAAACAATCTTTGACGTCCTAACGATGAGATAAGGATAGAAATGGAAAACAGAAAAAGAGGAAAACAAGTCTGAACACAAGATCTAGTAAAACAATGAAGAAGTATTGAATAAATTCTTTAAAGTATCACTAGTGGTCTTTTAAACAGCGAGTAAAAAGATAAGGGTAAAATTTATTGATCTTCTTAGCGGGAAAAGAGTTTTTATAAACTAATTGTTCTAAAAATTGATGAAGGTGATAAGAGATAGATCTTGTTTTCTTTGAGGGAAAATAGCTGGCTACTTAAGTGGTAGAAAAACTCTTTTGGGTAGGCATGGTAGGTAGTTTGTCAATTAAGGGTTTTCAGTGGTGTGTCATCGAACATCTTTTAGACCAGTCCCTGACAGTAGCAGGGCTAACTGGGGGTATGCTTTGATACGCCTGGTTCATTTTAATTTTTATTAACTTCGATGGTTGCCTTCTTTGAAGCTAGGGTTTTTTATGTATTTGGTTAACAAGTCAATGAGCTGTCTCAGCGTTGCTTGTAGATTCTTGAAAAATATTTTCAAGTTGACACCACATCTTCACAATATTAGTGAATGCTTGAGCCCGTTGAGGGCTAGCTGGGGTCCAGGAGACCAGACCCAGTAGTTGTAAATTGTCTTGAGACTGACTTAAGTCACATCCGGAGGATCAACAAGGTTGTGTATGTTTGATGTTTGTTTAGACTCTTCATCTTCATCACCTAGTATTTCACTAAAGACCTTTAGCCCTTCTTTGGCAGCTAGGT